TTTTTCTAATTTTGTGGGTCTACTTAATTTAGCACAAGAGGACCCGACGCTTAAAGTTACCACAAACACGTCAGACTCTGAGAAGGTCACATCTATATCCAAAAGAATCTTTAACGCACAGATCATAGCAGTCGAACACAAGTTTCAACATTCTCTTCTTCCTAAAAATCACATCAAGCATTTGCCGCTTCAAGCCTACTCAGATGCGTGATGCGTCAGACAGCTTTGATCATTCTGATGACTCATACTTTTCAGATGACTTCCTCGGACACGCAACAGAAAGTGACAGACGACTACCCATTTCCAGTCGCGAAAACATACGAGATTCTAGCTTCAACAGAGAGATTTGCTATAAATCCCAATTTGTCACTCTATACACATGCTTGCCAACAGATAATCTAAATACGCAACTTAAAATCTATAGAAAAACTGATATGCACTAGTTAGTAGTGCATAAATGTGTGTTTTTATATTTGTTTTGTGTGGATTGTTTACCATTTGTGTGTAGTTGTGAACATTTGTTTACTTTTATTTGTAAGTGTTTTTAGCTTTTATTTGTGAGTTAGGAAGTTTTGATAGAATTGTTGGCAAGGAAAAGGAAGAAAAACAAGGAGAATGCTGCCCAGGAGTATATACCGGCCGGGTAGAAACCTTCACCCGGCCGGGTTTGAGTTAATATATGCAATCTCCAGGAAATTGCTTGGCCCGGTCGGGCCCTACACCTCACCCGGTCGGGTGAGACTTGACCGAGGACAATCCGACGTGCTGAAGAACACCAGAACGTGGAAGATATTTGATTTTGACCGGTACCCCGGTCGGATAGATACTCTACCCCGGTCGGGTACCCGGCCAAAGGTGTTGAAAAACACCTATAAATAGCACACTTTTCTTCACTAATATTCATTCCTTCTTCCATACTCTTAAGCTCAGTTTAGAATAGTATTTCTTTTATACTTTTATAGCAGGTTTAGTCTTCAAATGAGGAGCTAAACTTCCATTTCTTGGTGTTGCTCTTGAAGCTTGTTGATTATTAAAGTTGTGAGTTATTTTCTTAACTTCTTTCCTTGAATATTAATTATTCCTTTAAATATTATTTCTATATCAATGTTGGGGAGTGTTACTAAGATGACAATTAGTTAACATCTTGACATTAGTTATAGTAATAGTTATTTCTTCCTCTATGTTAATATTGGGGAGTGTTACTAAGATGACAATTAGTTAACATCTTGATATTAACTGTAGTAGGATTCATCTTCTTTAATATTCTTCCTTGAGTATTAATTAATTCCTATTCATATTTCATATTAATATTTTGAACATTACTTAAAGGATCAACTAGTTTTGTTTAATATATTAATTATTACTAGAAACGATCAACGAACCGATGGTTAATCGTTGATGGTTTCACAAGTAAGTAACTTCGGTTTATTAATGCACGGTCGTGGTTAATAAACTTAAGAGGGATTAATTTTGTTGGTTGAACCGAAACCGTTGTGTTGAGGTGATCAATCTCAATTGATTTCATCAAGGAGTTAAAAGATTAAATGCTACTATCAAGTCGGTATATGGCGGTGTTCTATACTTGACTAATAGTAAGAGTTATTAATGAACGTTCGTTGTTAATAACTACCCTCGATGAACTGAATATTCTTTATCTTTTTATTTTCTAATATTCTTTTTATCTTCTGGCTTTTTATGTTCTTTTATCTTTCTATTTTTTGTCTTTCTTATATTCTTATAGTATTGTTATCTTATATTTATTTTTTCCATATTTTATCCTACTTTTTTTTCTTCTTGTTCGTCTTCTCTGTTTGACATCGATATCATAGATTGATTCATGTTATAGTCGACCACAAATTCTTTGGGGATTAAGGCATGGTTGTTGTTGTTGGTGGTGGTGGTGTCGATAAAAGCAAGGAATGCATGAAGTTTTTTCGGGTTACGCCGGTTTACAGGGTTTTAGACATGTCCCATAGTTTTATGTGTAAACAGGCAACTCATAAAATAATTCAGAATTGTTGAAAATAAAAACATATGATTATCTAAATTCAAAGTGTTAGAAAACTTTCATTCTTGATGTATGTATAAAGAAAAGTGTTAGAAAACTTTCCTTCTTGATGTATAAAAAAAGTGTTAGAAAACTTTATGTTTATATCTAAATAACGAACTAACTACTGGGAAATAAGTTCAACATGTGTTTGAAGACTGTCCAACCGGGGTTAGGGATTTTAACATGTTTATCCAAACAAATACGGAGTATACAACAATAAATTCATAAAATAGTTACATAACCTGAATTAATATGTTGTAACCACTAGTTATTATATATACGGAGTATAAATACAGAGTATATAGATAGTATACACAGTTACTATTGTAAGCACTAGTTATTACTCCCTCCGTCCCCTTTTAAATGGGACGGGAGATGGTGGCACGAGTTTTAAGAAAAGTGAGTTTGTGTGGTTGATATTAATTGATAAAGTAAGAATAAAGTAAGAATGATTTTGAGCCACACAAAGTTTACCAAATAAGGTAAACGGGACATTTAAAAGGGGACGGAGGGAGTATATTCTTCAGTTATTGTACAATATCATTTTAGCTATTTATCATGTAATTTTTTCTTTGTTTTATTAATAAAATACATTTTAAATATGATTTTTTCACAAAACAGCAGAATCAGCCAATGCAGTTAGAACTTCATAAATTTCAACAGAATCAGCCAATTCAGGCGATGTATTCGTTACCAAACGGGCTCTAATAAATACACTAATAATTATAACTATGTTTGGTTTTTCTAGCCTTTTCAGTAATGATCAAGACGGTAGATTAAGGATGTTTTCTTTTGGACTGAAATTTGCTGGTCTGATCTGGTCTGATATGGTTTGGCCTCAACTGGTCTGGTAAACGTTTGGTCATTGTGTATTTTATAACAACGGAAGTGAAGTCTGATCTGATCTGGTCTGGTTTGATCTGGTCTGGTCTGGGACTGAAAACAGTCCAAAAGAAAACATCCTAAAATATGTTACAATTAAATAGGGACATCCCAATATAGTAAAACGGGACATTTAAAAGGGGACTGAGGGAGTATATTCTTCAGTTATTGTAGAATATCATTTTAGCTATTTATCATGTAATTTTTTCTTTGTTTTATTAATAAAATACATTTTCAATATGATTTTTTCACAAAACAGCAGAATCAGCCAATGCAGTTAGAACTTCATAAATTTCAACAGAATCAGCCAATTCAGGCGATGTATTCGTTACCAAACGGGCTCTAATAAATACACTAATAATTATAACTATGTTTGGTTTTTCTAGCCTTTTCAGTAATGATCAAGACGATAGATTAAGGATGTTTTCTTTTGGACTGAAATTTGCTGGTCTGATCTGGTCTGATATGGTTTGGCCTCAACTGGTCTGGTAAACGTTTGGTCATTGTGTATTTTATAACAACGGAAGTGAAGTCTGATCTGATCTGGTATGGTTTGATCTGGTCTGGTCTGGGACTGAAAACAGTCCAAAAGAAAACATCCTAAAATATGTTACAAAGTATTTATATTTTCATTCATATCCGTAATTTTTATTTATCTTCTTGTAATACTTTTAAGAAAAGTCATTATAATTAGAAAAAAATAATTAAAATACTTCAAACTTTGAGGGATGTGAGGTAAGCACCTCAAACTTGCATACGTACTTTAAATACCCCAGTTTTTTAATAAAAAGTTAGTCTAGAACCATAGTCATGTATTATTTCTTTCAAAAATGTTAATTTTTGTGTTTATTTCACGAATTAAAATATTTTAGCATTCATGAAGATACAAGGAACATTCTAAACTTCCGTTGTAAAATAAAAATATTACTCTCACTCTATATAATTGCAACATTTTTAATTTGCTATTTTAAATTATGCAATTAACACCTTAAATTTCTAATTTTGGAAAAAATAATATATGACCATGGTGCTAAAATAACTTTTTATATAAAATTTGGAGTATTTAAATTAAATATGAAAGTTTGGAGTATTTATTTCACACACGTTCAAAGTTTGGGACATTTTATTTATTTTTCCCTTATAATTATGGCAAAGAAAATTGTAAGGCACTAAAATAGGTAATTTATACTCGTAAAGTCGTAATAGCTTTTAAATACATTTGGGCCTGAAGTCTTCACCCGGAAGTCTATGAGCCCGTTTGGTAGCACGAAAATCATCTGTTTTGGCTGATTCTGTTGAAATTTATGAAGTTCTGGTTGAAGTGGCTGTATAACCCTGCATTGGCTGATTGTGCTGATTCAAGAAAAAAATATTTTAAATTTTTTTTTTTTTTTTTTTTTTTTTACCCTGTGGCAAACCATCCTAGGATGGGGTAAGGGCCGGGGAACACCTTACCTTTTATTTATAAGATTAGGGAAGAAGGAAAATACAAGGTAGGGGGACTAGGCCAGGACCCACCCAAGAAGAACAATTAGATAACATAAGGAAAAGCAATAGCATCAAATTTAAGAATATTGTTGAATCTATTGGATCTAACATCAATCCCCATACTAATATCTTTGGCTGCGCAGTTGACCTTTTCGTGGACAAGTGTAACAATGATGTGCTTTTGATGCAAAATCCTCCGAATGCAAGAGATGTAAAAATAGCTAAAATGGTCATCTACAGTAACTTCAACAAATACAGTCTGAAGAGCAACTTCAACCTTATTTTTTCTGCTTATTACATAATCAATGCGCGAAAACAAAAGTTACGTGTTTGGTGAAAAAGTTGGCTGACAAGCTTGTAAAATCCAAAAAGTGTGTTCTTAAACGGTCTTTATGTTCTACATCTGTTCGCTGCCACTCAATGGACGCCACCTCATCGATCCGCGTGAGAAGCAGACTTCTGAGCCGTTAACCTAACCCTGATCAACGTTCCAAACAAACGCCAACCTGAACGCCAGGATCTGCACCAAAAGCGAAATATCCAAAACTTCATTTCATAAAAATTCAAACGAAATATCCACTTCCGAACCCGCCAAATCTCAAATCCTACGAAGTAATCTGAAGCTTTTGTATATACTATCTATATCTCTATATATACTGGAATCCTCTCCAATTGTAAATAGACTTCGAAACCGAACGAAAACCCTCGATCTAGGGAGTTCTTCTCTAATTGTTCCGATCAGCTCAGATCTGTTCAACCATGTCTGGCCGCGGAAAGGGAGGAAAGGGTCTGGGAAAGGGCGGTGCGAAGCGTCACCGCAAGGTTCTGAGAGACAACATCCAAGGAATTACCAAGCCGGCGATTCGGAGGCTGGCGAGGAGAGGCGGTGTGAAAAGGATTAGCGGGTTGATTTATGAGGAAACCAGAGGAGTCCTCAAGATATTCCTGGAAAATGTGATTCGTGATGCTGTTACCTACACAGAGCACGCCAGGAGGAAGACGGTTACCGCCATGGATGTGGTCTATGCTCTGAAGAGGCAAGGCAGGACCCTGTACGGATTTGGGGGCTGATCTTTGTATGGATGGGGATCTGATTTTAGCTTTGTTGTTGTGGTCATCGTCTTGATTATGAATCTGGTGTTATTATCTTCGTTTGTTAATCGTTTCATAGTCAAGCATTAGGTACTCTTACTATTGAATTTAATGAAAGTTCATTTGGAATTTATATTTTTTTTGTTTAGAGTTTCATCAATTTGATTTTTGCTGTTGTGAATGTCGTCCTAGTACAGTTTAAGGATGTTTTTACTCGGATTCTAATTTGTCTTAGACTAGACCAATCCAGATTAGACCAGATCAGTTTAGACCAGACTAGATTTGGATGGTTATAAAAATACAAAGAAATCAGACCTTATAAGACCAGATTAGTTCAGACTAGACCAGATCAGACCAGACCAAACCAGACCAAACTAGACCAGCAAATTAAAGTCCAAGTAAAAACATTCTAAGATAAAGAAGTAAAAGAAACATTGTAGTTGACTAAAGGGACATTAGTGAGTAATATCAAGCCCTTCTAATTCCATGTTACTAATCTAAGAAATGTAATGGAGAGTGAAAAGGGTAAATGTTCAACTTTTCATCCTTTATGAAATCACAATGACAATGTTTGGGTAGCACCGGTTTACCTCCCAAACTCTTTGTCAAAGGGAAACACCTACATTTTGGAGCGTTTAGGTTCCAAACTGCTAAATTTGTACGAAGTATTATTTTGTTTAAAAAGTTTCATCAATTTGATTTTTGTTGTTGTGAACTTGTGATTGTCACCCTCTTACAATTTAGGATAAAAAATTAAAAGAAACATTATAGTTTGAAACTTTAGAAAGTGATAACTACTACGTAGTTATTATCAAGCCATGCTAATTCCATGTTACAAATAACAAATCTAAGAAATTTAATATGGAGTCGGAGGGTAACTATTTAACTGTTGATCCCTTTTGAAATATCAATGTCTAACTTGTTTTGATGATCATTTAAAAAAAAAACTTGTTTAGATGATCCTCTAGTGTCGTTATTAGGGGCGGAGGCAGTGGCGGACCCACTAAGGGTCCCATGGGGTCCCGGGACCCGTGTATGTTAAAAAAAATTACTATATATATTATATATATTTTATATAAAATTTACTAAGGCGTGTATGAATACACCAAAAGCGAGTATGAAAACTAAAGAAAGAAGTGGACGGATGGTAGCATTGTGGAACTGCGGGATTCCTTTCTCTTGAGGTACAGGGTTCGATTCCCAAGTTCTCCAGTTTTGTTTTTTGAATGTATTTATGATGAAAGATCATTATTTTTGACTGTTAAAATTAATTAGGGAAAATGGAAACTAATAATCCAACCTTTTAGCCGTCTTCTTACAATAGTCCCACCTTTTGATTATTCATGAATAATCCAACCTTTGCACATCATCTTCATTCAGTGGTCCCTGACCGGTTGATGACCTGTTATTCCAGGTTATTTTATTATCTTAGCAAACCATTATACCATAAATCTCACCTTTCACAACGATAATATTTTGTAAAGATAAGAAAATAACTTGGAATAGCAGGTCATCAACCGGTCAGGGACCAGTGAATGAAGATGAGGTGCAAAGGTTGGATTATTCATGAATAATCAAAAGGTGGGACTATTGCAAGAAGACCGCTAAAAGGTTGGATTATTAGTTTCCATTTTCCCAATTAATTATTAAATGTATGATCTTTATGAATAACTTTGCGATTTAGGATGAAAACATATTTGATATTGTATCCGAATTTAAAGAAATTTGGAGCACCGGGAGTAAATCAAACGTTAATTCAAATGATTCGTCATTATTAAAAGAAAAAATGGATCAAATAATTGTTAAATGTGAAATTCATATGACTAATTGTCTACAAGACCAACATGTTGAAACCTAAGAAGGTACATTTGTAGAATTGTAGAGCGAAATATATACTTCATATGTAATTTAATTTTGTCTGTTATGACTATTTTAATATTTTCATAATGTACGTTAATTATGAAACATTATGTTACTTTAGAGCCTGATTGGTAATACTCGAATAGGCTATATTGACTGATTCTACTGAAATTTATGAAGTTACGGCTAAAGTGACTGGATTGGTTGATTCTACTTATTTATGAAAAAAATATTTAAAATATATTTTATTAATAAAGTAAAGAAAAAATTATAGTATCACCAATACAACCAATACAACTGAAATATATTATGAAGCGACTGGATTGGCTAAAGTATGAAAGATAGTTTAAATGATTTTATACAGTAACTTTAGTCAATACAGCCATAAAAGTAACTCTAAACTTACGTTTTCTTATTATTACACAATTCAACGCACGAAATCAAAAGTTACGTGTTTGGTAAATAAATTAGCTGATAAACCTAATAGGCCGGAAAAGATTGGCCTAACAGGCTCTTATTAATTAGAGTTACATTAGAGTAGGGACCCCGCGATCCCGATTTTCTGGGTCCGCCACTGGGCGGAGGTAGAGGGGTGGTCCACTGGGTCATGACTCGTCCCAAATTTAAAAATTCTTTGTATAGTGTAAAAATTTATGTGTAAAAAAATTATCTGAAAAATTCTTTGTATCGGCCCAGCCCAACCTTCAATCTTAACTACGCCCCTGGTCGTTACTATCGTACCCCGTTGGTATAAGAGTTGCAATCATTTCTAAATTATAAAATAAATACTAATTTCGTTCTAGAAATTTTAATCAAATTACGAGCTCGCTTGGAGGATTAAATGTGGTGATGCTTGGAAATGCAAAAACAATTACGGAGTACCAAACACCCTTTAAAAAATTTGTTATGCCTGATCAATATTTTCAGCCTAAAAAACAAGTTCTAATATACCATTTCAACTCGCATAAATGAAAAAACATCTATATCTTTAGAAAGTAATACGAAAAATTGATAGTAAGAATGTTTTTTACTTGAGTTAAAATTTATTGATCTGATTTGGCTTGGCCTAGTCTGTTTAAATCTAATTTGGTCTGAACTGGTCTGATCTGGTCTGATAAAAGTCTAGTCTCTGTGTATTCTATAACTATGGAAGTTTGATCTGATTGTCTAGTTTGTTTAAGTCTGGTCTTGTATGGTATGGTATGGTCTGTTTAAGTCTGGTATGATTTGCGACCGAAAACAATCCAAGCAAAACATCATAATAATCCCAACAATTGATGGTCCGCTCATAATAATACGGAGTATCAACTATCGATTATTTCAGAAAATCCCAACTTTAGGAACTTTTCGCAAATAATGGTCCGACGCGACCGGCTACCTGTTTAGACAATTAAAAAGAAATATTAGATTATAATAATTTGAACTATCATCGGTCGACTTCTGTTGGATCCAAAAAAATAAAATTAAAATCTTCATAAATAAATAGAAAGGGTAAACACGATAGTAAAAATTTATTTTTACTTAATTAACTTGTTTTAGATAGTTTGTAGAATATGGAAAAATTTATACTCCCTCCATATTTTAAAGTTCACTACAATAAAGTTGAACACATTATTTGACGATAAAATAACAGGAGTAATGATTAGTGTAAAAGAAGTATAAGAGATGATAAGAAAATATGAAAGAGAAGATAAAAAGTAGAAAAAGTGACTGCAACAAAACTTGTTTTGGGCGATAAATTATTATAAAAGCATCTCCAATGCTACAATGTGTACGGTGCACATGTGGCATGAGAGGTAGCCATACAAATATTAACAAATAATTTATCTCTCTACTAATTTGAATGATTTTATACAACTTTGGTAAATTTTTTTCCTGCAATGCCAACCACAATGTCAACATCTAGACGATCTTTTTGACATTGTGGAGAAAAACTTATCAAAATTGTACAAAATCAGTCAAATAAGGAGAGAAATAATTTTTTTTTGCTAATATTTGTGTGGCTAATATTTGGTCGTTGCACAAATCTAAATTTGGACTATCATTTCATCATGCATCGCACAAAATATTAATTTTGCCATGGTAGTTATTAGAGCATCTTCAATGCTACAATGTGCACGGTGCACATGTGACATGAGAGATATAGACACAAAAGATTGATTTTATGACATTTCTCTCCTCTTCTCTCCATGGTCTTATATGTTTTAGGTAAGTTTTTTTCTGCAATGTCAACCACAATGTCTACATCTAGAAATTGTGTTTGACATTGTGAATAAAAACTTACCAAAATGATATAAGATTCTTCAAATAAGGAGAGATATATTTTATTTATTATTTTATGATTGGCTATCTCTCATGCTACGTATGGATCGTTAACATTGGAGATGCTCTTACGGATTATATTGATCAGGGCCGGTCCTGGTATAGGGGCAGCCTGGGCTGCTGCCCAGGGCCCACCAGGAAAAAGGGGCCCATAGATTTTATAGTAGTTATTATATGTATAAATTAATAATACTAAATATCTAAATTAATTAATCGTACTCCGTATAGTCGTATACGGTAAGATATCAATCTCTATTTCGTAGTTCTAGATTGAGCCAAGGCCCACATGCGAGAGGAAGACTTTCGAACTCCCTCAAAAAAATCGAAAACTAAACATTAATACCAATCCTAACTAATTCTGGATTTAGTTCCCAAACGTTGGATACTCAATCTTTCCGCCTCCCTGATACAAATCATATGAATCTCTTCGGTCTCTTATAATCAACTACACGCTTTGCTTAATTGATTCAACCGTCAGCCTTCGTTATTCTTTGCTCTCAAATCTTAAATTCTCAATTCTCAAATTCTTAATTTTTGCCTTTTCCTCTAATCCTCTCTAGACCTCTCTCAAAGGATTCAACCATCAGACGAGGACGAGCACCGCCGCACGGTGCTCACAGGCATTTACTAATTATGTAAATTGACTACATTAATTTATAATTTTAATTATTTAGTATATTACTTTATGGGTTTACTTGTAGTACTAAGCCAATGGCGGATAGCTTCTGTCTTTTTCGTATTTTAGCATCCTTTTCTCTCTGGGTTTACTTGTATCTAGTATATTACTTAGAAAATGGTTTTTAATTAAGGTTATAAAGTTGAAATTTATTTATATCTTTTAATCTTTCCATACAATTGGCCGATTGCTATTTTGCATTTTCGCTTTTTAATCACGAGCTTTTTGTAGGGGATCATATATTGCAAGCGTTCACCGTCACTAACATCTATAGGGCCTATTTTTAGTCTTTTGCCCCGGGCCCATAATTAGTCAGGACCGGCGCTGATATTGATCATTGGCAACAGACTCTATATCTCGT